GACACAGTGCATTTAAGGGGAAAACACGAAGGATCAATTCCAACTTTGAACAATTAGTTACATGGGACATCACCATATCTGGAAGACAATACCTCAGTTTGAGCACCACAGGTTAGTACGAGTATACTGGTTGATTGAGAGGACTTCCACACCCTTTAGTAATGCCGTGAACTTCAAAACTTCCAGTATTCTCACTGGTATGTCTCCCAGCAAGTAATTAAAATTTTCAACCATTTAAAACCATTTTCAGACGGTTTGTAAACCGTTTGGGCTCCCTAGCAAACTAAACGGAAATAAAAATGGTTATAACCGTTTGAAACCGTTTTCAAACGAAAATGATTGGAGCCTTAGTGACGGACTCCTGTGGAGTTTAAGTCATCCTCCATGCGCGTCACTTTTCTGAGTTCTCCTAGCCTCAGGTAACTGAGGTAAGCTCTCCGCTTAATATATTGGCACATAAGTCTGTAGCAGTTTGGAACATTGACATGTCCCATATTGGATCGAGCGACAGGCAAATACATCAATGGATTCAATTTAAACACCAACCTGCGCCAAAACAGCGAAAGAGGCGGCCACCTGACGACGCAGCCGGCCACCCATTACCGCCGGCGCGTCCCGTCATGAGTCCTCAAACCCAGGACTACGTCGTCTCCTATACGGATTATTTCATCTACACGAACCTTTATTCCGAGCCGGTCGACCCCCAAATTACTCCTGCTCCACTTGGAGTTGGAGACATAGCCGCCTACTGCTTGAGCCAAGCCTTTATTTACGGTCAAAGTCAGATTCACAACGTCGTAGGCGATTCAATGGCAAGCATTTTCGCCGCTGAAAGCACGAAAGTCCCCATGACAACACTTTGGGTGCCTCCCGTCCTCTCCAAGTTGCCAAGACATCGCTAACGGCCCCTCCCATTGCAGGCAGCATACATACGGGGAATCGTCGAATTTACAAGGACGGTAAGTAAATTCTCATCCAAAGGATCCCGCTGAATACCCACAGGCAATAAAACCGACCTCGCCTGGGTTGACGGTCCACTTGACGGGAACCTGCCATCTACTATGAGCCGTGCAATAAACGGTACAGCACTGATAACGGGAATATCATGAGGCAATCGGCCCAGCAATTCTAATACCCAGTACATTCGTCGCCATCGCATCGATTCTAATACCCAGTACATTCGTCGCCGTCGCATCGATCCTCATCGTGGTCTTTGTTCAATTGAAAAACCGCAAGATCCCGGGGCAACATGCGGATTTCGACCCCAACGATCCGTTGTCGCTTATATTGCGGCTGCGTCGGCGGGGGGGGATAAGCGACACTTTCCGCGGGTTAGCGGAGGGGGACATCAAAGAAGGAGGGTTGAAGAAGGTGACGTTCGGGCCAATCAGCGACAAGGATGGATTTGTCGAAGTTGTGTGAGGCGGCGGAGGACTCGGAGGAGATTTGGATTGCCTAATCAACCACCCTCACTCATTCGTTAATTCATATAGAGGCATAGTACGGTTGGGTCTAATTGAGATATTCACTGGGCTAGCTACATCGCCGTTAACAGTGTTTGCGTTTTGAGGCCACGTTCATTGTACCATTTACTGTAAATTCTAGCATGTTTTAGTGCGTGCATTCGCCACCCTCTTATTTGTAGAACGTATCCTTCAAATGGTTTGGTCCCCAATTAAGAGGGCTGGTTAAACACTCGTGAGCTCGAGATGATCATTTAAACAATTGCACCAAAATGAGAAACGGCACACGTCTTTGATCTGACTGAATGGGGGGTTCACTTTTCCCGTGCTTGGTCACATGGGATGAGCCTGCTGTTAAAACCGCAGTGTTTACATCAACTTTCAACCCCGCAAAGGAACTGGGAATAAACCTGTTTCGAGAAGCTTACGTTTAGTGTTACAAGGAGATTCCGAATAAAAAAAGGTATACACAGATCTTCGTGTGCAAGTACATTCTAACACGAGAATGTGATTTGTCCTAAACTTGAGGAAGAAGGGAACCCAGTCCCCGCCTTTGCTGCGAGTGTATTTAATGCGGGGTTGATCTCGACGCACCGGGGGATTGTTCCGTACGAAGCGGGCGGTGGTGGAGATCTGTACATGATCGTTGGATGGATGTTCAAATATGACCTGAAAATGGTCCAGGCCCTCTTCTCGAGATGCCTTTCTTTTCTGAATAACGAGCCCAGTCAGAACTTTTGAACCATGCAGACGAAGTTTGCTTGCAGGCTGGAAGACGGACGGTATATCAACCGCGCTCATGCCTCCGTGGCCCTACGTAAGTAATTCTTCGGCGTGTTGTGCGAGTGCCGCCGACTCACCCTCAGGCGACGCAGTATTCGGATTCTGCAGGACAGACTGTTTCATCCACAATAGATTAATATATCAGTTTCGAGAAGGAATTTAACAAGCAAGAATGAGGAACGCACCGGCGCGATCGTTAACGTCGTGACCTAGCTTCTCGACCGACCGACGCCAACAAGCTCATGGTGTCACAGTCCGACTTTGGAATGAGTTCAGACCCAGAAAACAAGGTTCGAATATTGGGGCGTACTTCCTTCTCATGCTGCTTGTGGGCCTCGTTCTAGAGATAAGCCACAGCGAGGAAACACATGGCATACGAAGAGCGGCACCGAGGAACTCACATATAAGAAGAGCGCCTATGATGTATCACGCCCAAAAATGAGATGTTCGGCGGCGGGTGGCCGTTATCAGGGCGGTCAACGTTGGCGCAGCAGAAGCAGTGACGAGGTCGTTTGCGCTGCGAACAATACACTTCAAGATATGGGTGACGAGAGACATTTCCTTTTTGAAGCGGTGAGTGTGGTCAATGGGTAGAGGACCTGGCGAAATAAAATACTGAATCTTCTGAACGATCTGAATGATTTTCTCGACCGGTCCAAGCTACTGTGTTAGATTTCCGACCCGAAAACGTTGGATTTGGCTGTTTTCGCATCTTGTTTTTTTTGCTGCACATGCTATATCACCCCAAGTTTCGTCCGCATTCTCAGACTTTCAAAGCATGAAAAGGCCAATTTTGAAGGGTGGCACGATATCCGTGGTTTGTGACGATTTTTTTCCTTGCGCCAGCGACAGATTGAACGTTCGGGAATTCAATGCGTTTTTGAGTTGAAATGTACGCATGAGGATCGGACTTGAGTCTCAGGAGTCCATCTCGTCAGCGATCAAGATCGGACCGTGGGTTTTTTTTCTGCGAAAGTGCCCACATTGGGATCGGAGTCGGGCTGTAAGCCCTTTTTCGACTCGCGCACCAGGATCAAACTTCTAACCATATATCCATTAATGAATCATCTCGGTAAAGATTTCCCGTCCAAGACAGAAATAAGCAGGTTGCTTTCTGGGAAGAATAACTAGGCTGCTTGGCTGAGTACCGCAGAGGGGCCTCGACACGCTGAGACGCGCAAGAATTCCGGCGAAGGATCTTGGGGGTGTCAACGGATCGTACTTGAGCTTGAATATCTGCTTGATCTGACTTGAAGAAACCAGGGAGGATATACAGATTTCGAGCGGGTTTCAGATGATTCACCTCAATTGTGGTAGCATGGACCGGCACAGATTCGATGTGGGGGCAGAAGGAAAGGCAGGATCGGACGTTCGGACCCGACGCCCGCGGCCGATCAATTCGATCAACTCCGAGTCAGCACTGAGCAGGCGCCTTGTACTTCACCACAACTCCCGCTCCAATGCGCGGGCCTACCGAAAATCTTGGGCTGCCAATGTTAGTTAACCCGAGATGACGGCAAAAGGGCGAAAAGGCATCGGCGACGGGTCCTGCTCCTACGGCCTCGAAGACGGCGACGACACATGTCCCACTGGAACGGCACAATCATCGGCCCAGGCCACACCGTCCATGAGAACCGCATCTACAGCTTGAAGATTACGTGTGGCGACCAATACCCCGACCGGCCCCCAACTGTCCAGGTCCGTGCCGCTGCGTGCTCGCACTCACGCTCACGCTCACGCTAACGCGTTCGCCCGCCCACAGTTCCTCTCCCGCGTCAACCTCCCCTTCGTCTCCCAAACCGACGGCATGGTCGACCCCGCAAAGCTCCCCGTCCTCGCACACTGGACACACCGCAGCAGCCTCGAGCTCATGTTGGTCGAGATCCGCAAGTGCGTCCACGCTCCTGCCTTTGTTTATTCATCTCTGCTTTGCTTTCTCCCGCATCTTTCTTCGCCTTCGCGTTCCATTTCATATCTTCTTTGCCTTCCCGTTTCTTTCTTTGCCTTGCATTTGTTCCCACCACTAACACACACACAGAGAAATGGCCACCCAAGCAAACCGCAAGCTCCCCCAGCCCCCCGAGGGCAGCATGTTCTAGACGCCCCTCTTCTCTCCTCACCTCGCGCGTGGGTGTGTTTGCGTTGGGCGTTGGGCGTTCGCATTCGCGTCAATGCGCGTTGGTGTGGGTAGGGTGTTGTGCGAAGAGGGTACGAAGGAAAGCTGGGAACGAGAAGAGGGTACGAAGAGAACGGGAGGTGTACAATAGGATAGACTCTGGCGCTGTGGTGTATTATACAATGCGACGAATGAACTCACGACGAACTCTGTACATGGCTTCTCAAATCTTTTCTGTTCCTCAGACGGAATGACAGTTCCCTCCTTTCCTTCGACCGCGACGAACCTCAACAGTGAACCGGGCGCGGGCCAAAAAAAAAAGAAGCTCATACACTTATGCCACGCTCCAAGCGGGAGTCGAACCCACATCTGCCTCGAAAATGTTGAAAGCGATTTACTGAAATTGCGAGACCGGTCTACCACTGACCCATTGAAGCTCACGGGTTCGGGGGAGATGTACGATAGGATAGACTCTAGCGGTGGTGTATTCAATGCGACGAACTCACTCACTCACTCTCTCACGAGGAACTCTGTACATACATATCTTCTCAAATCTCGAACCCACACTTCCCTTTCCTTTCCTTGCAAACTGCAGTGCTTTCCTGTCCTTCCACAAAACTGAACTCCAAATCTGCCCACGCTCCAAGCGGGATTCGAACCCACGTCTGCCTCGACACCTTCAAATAAATTTTCCAAATTTCGAGGCCGGTCTAACACTGACCCATTGGAGCTTGAAGTTTCAGTGTGGTGTATTATATATACAATGCAACAAATGAACTGACACTCACGACGAATTCTGTACGTACATATCTTCTCAAATCTCGAACCCACATTTCCTTTCCTTTCCTCGGACGCAACGACACTTCCCTCCTTTCCTTTCCTTTCCTTTCCTCCCATCCACTGCGACGAACCGTACGTGCACGTGTGGGCGTGCGCCCAGGCCAAAGAGCAAGCCATAGCGAGTCCACGCTCCAAGCGGGATTCGAACCCACGTCTGTCTCGAAAACATTCACGAACCTAGTGAAATTGGGAAACCAGTCTACCACTGACCCATTGGAGCTTGCATCTCTTTCCTGCAGTGGATGCTTAGTGTAATGTGCACTAGACAAGTGACAGACGCCATGTTTTTTAAATTAAAGCCAAGAGGCACTCTTCAAATACTGTACTATTTCGACCATTTGTTCAGGTGACGGATGACGGAGGGTCGTGAAGTGAACAAATTTGGTACCGGTGACGGTGACATTTGGATTTTGAGGCCTAATTAGGCTCAAAAACGGTCAAAATTTCCGGTCCGGCATCCGCCGGACTGCCATATATGGTAATTTTGTGTGATTGCCGAAGAATGAATACCTTATCCAGTGAACTTTTGAGGTGACGGGTGACATGGCGTGAACAAATGGTCGAAATAGTACAGTAACTCATATTAATGAATACCACCTCCAGTGATCAGCGTGAACGTAAACAAATTTACATACATAACAAGCTTTATCGACGAAACTTCCACGATTGAATCCATCCATTGCCGATGGAAAACCAAAACAAAAACACATCGGTAGTGCACGCTCCAAGCGGGAGTCGAACCCACATCTGCCTGCCATATATCGAGTGCAAATGAAAGCATCAGGCCGGTCTACCATTGACCTATCGGAGCTTGATGGTAGATAGGCATTCCCATAAATATTATTCTCAAATCCTTTCCTTTCCTTGGGCGCAAGGACAATTCCATCCTTTCCTTTCCTTTCCTTCCACCACAACGAACCGCAACAGTGAACCGGGCCCGGGCCAAAAAAGGACTGGGAACAACACACGCTCCAAGCGGGAATCAAACCCACGTCTGCCTCGAAAACGTTGACCAACGTGTGGAAATTAAGAAACCAGTCTACCACTGACCCATTGGAGTTTGCATTGGATTGCTGCGGCGGATATTTGGTGTGATGGGCACTCAACGAGTGACAGACCTTCAAACCAAGACTAGGCTCAAATTACTTATGAAATTCAAAACTCGTGAATATAAACAAATCTGCATACATAACAAGCTTTATCAATGAAACTTCCGCAATTGAATCCATCCATTGCCGATGCCAAACTAAAACAAAAACACATTGATTTAAATGATCATCCAGGCTCCAAGCGGGAGTCGAACCCACATCTGTCTGCTAACTCTCAGATACATGCTGGAAATCGTCAGGCCGGTCTACCATTGACCCATTGGAGCCTGATAGCAGGTTGGCATTCCCATAAATACCATACGGTTTTCGTCAAAGTGTTTCTCACTGGCTTCAAAGCTTCAAGTTCATCAGGCTGGTCTACACTGCCCCATTGGCTTGGAATCATTAGCAGGATTCGAACCCAGGGCCACATCTGCCTGCCAAGTTTGATATACTTTGCTGAAAGCACCAAGCCAGTCTACTGTACTATTTCGATCAATTCGGCATAGGTTGTGACCCGTGACCAAAAACGCTGATTCGGCACTTCGGCAACCAGCCAATTTTGGTATGACATCCTCAAAAATTCAGCGATCAAGTCAAAAAAAATCGGAAATTCTGCCTTTTTTGCACCTCTAAGGAAGATTTGGCCAGATGTCATGGATTTTATATTCGGCACTGGGTGCTGTGACCAGTAACTGAGACCAAAATTCGTTGCGGCACAGGGGGTGCATGACGCGTGACCGCCAAATTGATCGAAATAGTACAGTACTGCTGACCCCTTGGCACTTCCAATCCTCAGAATAGGGATGGACACGGGTAAACCCGCGGGTTTTATATAATCACGCTGTGGAGCTCGACTCTACAAATTTTTTGAGCCCAAAAACATGCAGAACAGTCAAGAACTGACTGAGTTATGATTAAAGTTTGATGCCCCAACATCACACACACATGTCACAGGACCTTTGAAAATGGGTTCAAACCCGCGGGTTTCTGACCCGCGGGTCTGGGCCCTAAATCCGCTACTGGAGACTGAAGTTTTGTCACTTTTGGCCCCAAACTTGATAAGCCCATAACTCTGTCAGTTCTTTACTGATTGTGCTGCTTCTGGGCTCAAAAAAAATTTTAGACTCGAGCTCAGTGTCGCGATTACATAAAATTGATGAAAAACCCCTGTCCATCCCTACCTCAGAATTATCTGAATCGTGGAGCACATCCTAGACAAACTCTGATGCCCTTCTCGCCACTCCAGTTCTCGGATCCAGACATGTACATGAATTGTTACACTCGCAAACCAACCACTCCTCCTCCTCCTCCAAGTACTACATATTGACCACAAAGAAAAAAACTTCATCCTCCTTAAGTGCTCCAAGCGGGAGTTGAACCTGCATCTGCCTGCCAAGTCAGATATACACCACAGAAACCCTCAGGCCGGACTACCATTGACCCATCGGACCTTGAGTACATGCATGCATTCCCATAAATACTATATGGTTTCGTCCAAGTGTTTCTCACTGGCTTCAAAGTTCATCAGGCTGGTTTATCCTTGCCCTTCCTCTTTGTTTCCTGCTCATCTTCACCTCTGCCACATTTCTTCACTCCGCATCTCTCATGTCCTTGTCTTTGAGTTTCTTTCTTCCGTATCTTCATCTTTGAGTTTCTTCCTTTCTCCTGCCTCTTTGGCTTTTCCTCCCTCATATATTTATTTTGGGCATTTCTTCACTTGTTTGCCCTCTATATCATATTATGCATCCACCACCCACTAACACACACACAGAGAAATGGCCTCCCATGCAAACTGCAAGCTCCCCTTGCCCCCCGAGAGCAGCATGTTCTAGGCGCCCCCTCTCCTCGTGTGTTGGTGCATTAGCATTGGGTGTTTGGACGTTGGTGGTGCTGTATGTGCTGTGTGTGGTGCAGGGAATTTGTGAAGAGAAGCCAAGTAGGGTTGGGTACGAAGGAAAGCAGGGTAGGGTACAAAGAGAAGGGGAGGTGTACAATACAATAGGATAGACTCTGGTGGCTATGGTGGTGTGGGGTGGTGTATTATACAATGCAACAAATGAACTCACTCACTCACGACCGACTCACATACATGGCTTCTCAGATCTCGAACCTACATTTCCTTTCCTTTCCTTCCACCGCAACGAACCGTACACGTAGTCAACAGTGAACCGTGCCCGGCCAAAAAGATTTGAAGTAAAAAGAGGTTAGAAGGCAACAGATGTTCCAAGCAGGAGTCGAACCCACGTCTGCCTCGAAAATTACGAAGGATTTTCCGAAAATTACAAAACCGGTCTACACTGACCCATTGGAGCTTGCGTCCCTCCAGTGGATGTTTGGTGTAAGGTGCACTCAACGAGTGACAGACCTTCAAGTTATTATAAATGCTACCTCAGTAATCAGCGTAACGTAAACAAATCTACATAACAAGCTTGAAACGTACGCGATTGAAGTCCATCCATTACCAAAATAAAAATCACAAAATGAGATGCACGCCCCAAGCGGGAGTTGAAGCCGCATCTGCCTGCTAAGCTTGTGATGCAGAAATGAAACCGTCAGGCTGGTCTACCATTGACCCATCGGAGCTTGCTTACATATATGCATTCCCATAAATACTGGACGGTTTTCGTCCAAGTGTTTCTCACTGGCTTCAAAACTTCAAGTTCATCAGGCTGGTCTACCACCAACCCATTGGCTTGGAATCAGCAGGATTCAAACCCAACCCACATCTGCCTGCCAAGTTTGATATACTTTGCTGAAAGCACCAGACCAGTCTACTGCTGACCACTTGGTACTTCCAATCCTTGGAATTGTCATGGAGCACATGATAGACTATCTCTGATACCCTTCGCCCCACTCCAGTTCTCGGATCCGGACATGTAGCTGAACACACAGCCCTTTCGCGGGGAACCCCAAACATGCCTGCACACAAATTAAGGATTTGCATAAGTGAAAAGTATGTGTCAACTGCGCCTCCTCCAAAAACAAAAAGAAGAGTCAGAGGCCAAGAAGTATGCTCAAAGCAGGAATCAAACCCACATCAGCCTGAAAATCCACAATGTACAAGAAGTTTATCAGGCCGGTCCACCGTCGACCCATTGGAGCTCCTACACCCTTGAATGGTCGGGGAGGATATGATAGGCGAACTCTGACATCCTCCCTGCCCACTTCCCAACCTCCCACCACTCGGTTCTTGGATCGTGGGGAACTGTAAATATCCATGCAGACGAACCGAATAAGTGAAAAGTATACATTAACTGCACCTCACTTCACCCCCCACAAAAAAAAGTGCGGTACACCATCTACGCTCCAAGTGTCTGAAAATCGTATGGAATCAATACCAGAACTTGTGAGGCCGCCACCACTGGCCATTAGAGCTTCCAATTTCATGGTCTGAGTGTGGATGTGTACTAGCCGAATGACAAGGACGCATCCACTTGTCAGTCTTCAAGTTATAACCTCAACTCGGCACTGAGCTCAGCGAGCAGCTATGCACCGGCACCCCCAAGAAGAACTGAAAAAAAGGACTGAGGATCACCATCATGCTCCACGCGGGAGTCGAACCCGCCTCTGCTGTTTCCTCCAGGTGAAATTAACAGGCTGGTCTACGGCTGACACATGGGAGCTTGCCATTGCAACACCACCTTCCTTTCTGTCCAATGTCCAAATAATCAAGCAAGCAAGCATATCTCCTCCACTAAGCAAGTTGGTTGTTTGAACCAACACTAAATGAGGCAGTACAACATAAATAGTGTTAATCATACCAACAGACATAAGAGAGAGAGAGAGAGAGAGAGAAGCCCCCAAAACGACAGGCTCCCCACTGATGCTCCAAGTGGGATTTGAACCCACATCTGCCCGAAAATCTTATCAACATTCAACTCTAAATAACCAGGCCGGCGTAGCGTTAACCCATTGGAGCTTCTAACCCTTCAAGTTGTCGGGGAGTATATGTTCATAAAGTACAGGACTTGGTCCATCCTTATACTTACACCCAAATTGAATGTACCCGAGTACGCCCAATGGCATTGAAGCAACAACACTTTATTCATCTCTTCCAACAGGCATGCAAAATTTATTTGAAACAACACTACTACTACTACAACTACTACTACTACTACTACAACATAAAGACAAAAACAAAAAGTCACAAAAAGGATTCAGCTCATTGGCGTCTAACGCTCCAAGTGGGATTCAACCTCACATCTGGCTGGGAAATTGTTGTACCACTCTAATTTACCAGCCCAGTCCATCATTGATCCATTGGAGCTTGTACACTAGTAAGTGGTCGGGGAGTATATGGTATGTGTATATGTTCATGGGTGGTATACATGTAAGTGCCGACTTGTCTTGGGAATTTCTTTCGATTGCAATGATTCAGAATGGTCAAGTTTTGAAACAGTGATAGAATGAGAATGGTGATTGATATCCGGTTTCATTCACATATATAGTAATGAACAGCGATTTTCATCTCACAATGAAATGCAAAATTTCCCCTGCAGGAAGTTGTCTTTCAGTTCCTAAGAGCTGTATGCAGTCACATCCTGACATGTATAGATTGAACATTTGATCAAGATTGTTCTTAATCCCGATCCATTCCTTGATTCGAGCTGCATATAAGGATATATATTATTTTTGCGAAGTCAGTCTACTCACATCGACCCTTTGCCCAACCACAATAAACATGTGATATCTGCTAGGGCAACATGGCCTCGCTGAACTGTCTGGAATTGAACTATACCTAAACACCGCACTTTTCGCGTGTTTCGGAATAGTCTGATTACAGTATAGGCTTATTTCTGAGAGCTAGTATACGGTCTCGGTATAGTTGGCAGGGTCAGGATCACAGAGTAACGGGTACAAAGGGTAGGTGACTACCCTGCGGACTGGCAGTGCTCACCTCGAAAACCGTGGAGGAGAGTGTAGCCCACAAACCTCTAAAAGAGACTATTTCTGGAGCTTATTTCCACAACGAGAAATAAGCCAGAGATACTTACAACGGGACATGCGGGATTAAGCTTATTCCTGCTCGGCTAGAGGCGAGGTCTTCCATGTGACAGGCGTGTGAGGCTCGGAAGGGCTCATACCGGAGGAGTTCCGGGATAAGCGAAGGTCGGTTGAGACAATCTGATGGGATTGATCTTATTCCGAAGAAGCGAAGTTGGGAATAAGAAACCTTTCTGGGAAAAGGTTGCACTAGGGGTATCTACGGAGAGCTGGAGGCCAGGGGAATAAGGTCCGATGGTCAGGAGCTACGGGAAAGGGACAGGAGACAAAAGGGATAGATGGACGACAAGATATCAGTCAGCCAGGGGACTGGTGTTTTCAAATATCCTGGATGACAAAAGCTGCATGGTCGGGAAATCAGGGACTACCTGGGCGCTGGCCAATGGCAATACGCTCGCAGCTATTCCTCCGATGGATAAACGGGGAAGGAGGGACGATCTCGGGCCATTTTACTAATTTCTGCTTGGTTTGAGGATTTTCATATGATTCTGGGATTTGTATAAGTAGTTGGGACATTATTATGAGTAGGACACAGAATCCCCTTGTACGAGTAGGCATAACACTTGCGATTTGGGCTATTTCTGGGGTTGGCGCAGTGTGTATCGTCGTGGGACTTTAACATTGGGAAACCTTTCTGTTGGAATAAGGAGTTGGTTACTGGAAACATCTTAGGGCGTGATTGAGGCTACATAGTTCTGGAATCGAAATCGTTTTATCGTCCAGTTTGTCCTGCCTAGTCCATTTTTTTTTCTAGGGAAGGCATCCGAGATGGCGGATGAATAGGCGAAGAGGTCTAAGTGGAATCACTAGTCAAGTCCTCCAAACAAACTCAATACAACAGTATACAAAGATATACATAGATGCTTGGCAACACGCACAGGCAAAGACATCCTTGAAAATGCAGCTACATATGTGGTGACGGACTCCTGTGAAGTTTGAGTCATCCTCCAGGCGCGTTACTTTTCTGAGTTCTCCTAACCTCAGGTAACTGAGGTAAGCTCTCCGCTTAATATATTGGCATATAGCAGTTTAGAACATTGTCTCATATTGGATCGAGCGACAGGCACATACATCAATGGATTGAATTTAAACACCAACCTGCGCCAAAACAGCGAAAGAGGCGGCCACCTGACGACGCAGCCGGCCACCCATTACCGCCGGCGCGTCCCGTCATGAGTCCTCAAACCCAGGACTACATCGTCTCCTATTCGGATTATTTCATCTACACGAACCTTTATTCCGAGCCGGTCGACCCTCAAATTACTCCTGCTCCACTTGGAGTTGGAGACATGGCCGCCTACTGCTTGAGCAAAGCCTTTATTTATGGTCAAAGTCAGATTCGCAACGTCGTAGGCGATTCAATGGCAAGCATTTTCGCCGCTGAAAGCATGAACATCCCCATGACAACACTTTGGGTGCCTCCCGTCCTCTCCAAGTTGCCAAGACATTGCTAACGGCCCCTCCCAGTGCAGGCAGCATACATACGGGGAATCATCGAATTTACAAGGACGGTAAGTAAATTCTCATCCAAAGGATCCTGCTGAATACCCATAGGCAATGAAACCCGACCTCGCCTGGGTTGATGGTCCACTTGACGGGAACCTGCCATCTACTATGAGCCGTGCAATAAACGGTACAGCACTGATAACGGGAATATCATGAGGGAATTGGCCCAGCGATTCTAATACCCAGTACATTCGTCGCCATCACATCAATTCTAATACCCAGTACATTCGTTGCCGTCGCATCGATTCTCATCGTGGTCTCTGTTCAATTGAAAAACCGCAAGATCCCGGGGCAACATGCGGATTTCGACCCCAACGATCCGCTGTCGCTTATTGCGGCTGCATCGGCGTGGGGGGGGGGATAAGCGACACTTTCCGCGGGTTAGCGGAGGGGGACGTCAAAGAAGGAGGGTTGAAGAAGGTGATGTTTGGGCAAATCAGCGACAAGGATGGATTTGTCGAAGTTGTGTGAGGCGGCGGAGGAGGAGATTTGGATTGCCTAATCCACCACACTCATTCATTTGTTAATTCATATGGAGGCATAGTACAGTTGGGTCTAATTGAGATATTCACTGGGCTAGCTACATCGTCGTTACTAGTGTTTGCGCTTTGAGGCCACGTTCATTGTACCATTTACTGTAAATTCTAGCATGTTTTGATGTGTGCATTCGCCACCCTCTTATTTGTAGAACGTATCCTTCAAATGGTTTGGTCCCCAATTAAGAGCGCTGGTTAAACGCTCGTGAGCTCGAGATGATCATTTAAACAACTGCACCAAAAATCAGGAACGGCACACGTCTTCGATCTGACTGAAGCACGGGAAAAGTGAACCCCCCAGTTCGCCGGCCCGGGGTCACATGGGATGAGCCATCGTCGCTTTGACGCCACGTTCATTGTACCATTTACTGTAAATTCTAGCATGTTTTAATTCATGCATTCGCGACCCCCTTATTTGTAGAATGTATCCTTCAAATGATTTTGTCCCTAATTAAGAGCGCTGGTTAAACGCTCGTGAGCTCGAGATGATCATTTAAACAATTGAACCAGAAACGGCATACGTCTTCGATCTAACTGAAGCACAGGAAAAGTGAACCCCCCAGTGGTCGCCGGGCCCGGGGTCACATGGGCTGAGCCTGCTGTTAAAGCCGCAGTGTTCACATCGAGTTTCAACCCCCACAAAGGAACTGGGAATAAACCTGTTTCGAGAAGTTTAAAAGTTTTTGTGTTGCAAGGAGATTCCGAATAAAAAAAGGATCTTCATGTGCAAGTACAAGCGTGTAGGCAATGTGACAGGCGATTCCAACAGGAGAATGGCATTTGTCCTAAACTTGAGGAGGAAGGGAACCTGGTCCCCGCCTTTGCCCCGAGTGTATTCAATACGGGGTTGATCTCGACGCACCGGGGGATTATTCTGTACGAAGCCCACGGTGGCAAGGATCTGTACATGATCGTTGGATGGATGTTCGAATATGACCGGAAAATGGTCCAGGCTCTCTTCTCGAGTTGCCTTTCTTTTCTGAATAACGAGCCCAGTCAGAACTTTTGAACCATGCAGACGAAATTAGCTCGCAGGCCGGAAGACGGACAGTATATCAACCGTTCTCATGCCTCCGTGGCCCTACGTAAGTAATTCTTCAGCGTGTTGTGCGAGCGCTGCCGACTCACCCTCAGGCGACGCAGTATTCGGATTCTGCAGGACAGACTGTTTCATCCACAATACAATAATATATCAGTTTTGAGAAGGAATTTAACAAGCAAGAATGAGGAACGCACCGGCGCGATCGGTAACGTCGTGACTGAGCTTCTCGACCGACCGACGCCAACAAGTTCATGGTGTCACAGTCCGACTTTAGAATGAGTTCAGACCCAGAAAACAGGGTTCGGATATTGGGGCGTACTTCCTTCTCACGCTGCTTGTGGGCCTCGTTCTAGAGATAAGCCACAGCGAGGAAACACATGGCATACGAAGAGCGGCACCAAGGAACTCACATATAAGAAGAGCGCCTATGATGTACCATGCCCAAAAATGAGATGTTCGGCGGCGGGTGCCCGTTTTCAGGGCGGTCAACGTTGGCACAGCAGAAGCAGTGACGAGGTCGTTTGCGCTGCGAAAGATACAATTCAAGATATGGGTGACGAGAGACATTCCCTTTTTGAAGTGGTGAGTGTGGTAAATGGGTAGATGACCTGGCGAAATAAAATGCTGAATCTTCCGAACGATCTGAATGATTTTCTCGACCGGTCCAAGCTACTGTGTTAGATTTCCGACCCGAAAAGGTTGGATTTGGCTGTTTTCGCACCTTGTTTTTTGCTGCACATGCTATATCACCCCAAGTTTTGTCCGCATTCTCGATCGGATTTTCAAAGCATGAAAAGACCAATTTTGAAGGGTGGCACGATATCCCTGGTTTGTGATGATTTTTTTCCTTGCGCCAGTGACAGATTGAACATTCGGGAATTCAATGTGTTTTTGAGTTGAAATGTACGCATGAGGATCGGACTTGAAGTCTCAGGAGTCCATCTCGTCAGCGGCCAAGATCGGACCATACATTTTTTTTCTGCGAAAGTGCCCACATTAGGATAGGAGTCGGGCTGTAAGCCCTTTTTCAACTCACGCACCAGGATCAAACTTCTAACCGTATATCCATTCATGAATCATCTCGGTAAAGATTTCCCGTCCAAGACAGAAGTAAGTAGGTTGCTTTCTGGGCAGAATAACTAGGCTGCTTGGCTGAGTACGGCAGAGGGGCCTCGACACGCTGAGACGCACAAGACTTCCGGCGAAGGATCTTGGGTGTGAACGGATCGTACTTGAATATCTGCTTGATCCGACTTGAAGAAACCAGGGAAGATATACAGATTTCGAGTGGGTTTCAGATGATTCACCTCAATTGTGGCAGCATGGACCGGCACAGATTCGATGTGGGGGCAGAAGGAAAGGCAGGATCGGACGTTCGGACCCGACGCCCGCGGCCTATCAATTCAATCAACTCCGAGTCAGCACTGAGCAGGCGCCCCGTGCGCAAGGCCTGGTACTTCCCGCTCCAATGCACGAGCCTACCGAAAATCTTGGGCTGCCGATGTTAGTTAACCCGAGATGACGGGAAAAGGGCGAAAAGGCATCGGCTCCTGCTCCTGCTCCTACGGCCTCGAAGACGGCGATGACATCCTCATGTCCCACTGGAACGGCACCATCATCGGCCCCGGGCACACCGTCCATGAGAACCGTCCCCCACAAAAAAAAAAGTGCGGTATACCATCTGTACGCTCCAAGTGGGAATCGAACCCACATATGCCTCTGAAAATTGTATGGAAACAATATCTGAAGTTGTGAGGCTGGTCTACCACTGGCCATTGGAGCTTCAAATTTCATGGTCCGATGTCAGCAAAGAGCAGATTCCGGGTTCTACGGTGACGAGGGCAACTGAAGCACAATGAGGTCAAGCGAATAAGTCTGGAGTTTAGACTAGAATAGTGTAAAGTACAAGGGAATAGGTACAGATTATATACTATAGGGCCTAGGGGCCATAGCTAAGGTACCATGTCAGATCACAACAGATAGGGTAAATGAAAGATAAATGCAGGGGTATATGAGCGTAAAGGGGTCATCAGGAACCCGTTGCATTGGGGAATCAATTGAAGTCCCAGAAAAGAACTCGTAGTTCAATTGATCAGATAGTTGATCTGATCAATAATCGGGTTTCTGGAATTGTTCAGGTTCTGGAACCCGAAATGAAAAGTCGGTTCATGACATTACCCCCCCTCTAGGTGAAACCCGCCTTGGGTTTCACATTCGTCGTCGCTTCTTCGTCCACAAGTCTACCCTGGTGATAACCCATTTTTGGCCCTGAGCTGTTTCCTTTAGAGCGGTGGGGTATTTGTGATAGAACTTGTCGAGACACTCCGTGGATTCTCCCAAATGTTCCAGTGGTCCCCAAGTGTTATCCTCCAGTCCATAACCCTCCCAACATATGAGGTATTATAAATGCTTGTGCTGTTTGTTGACCCATATTTTCAAGACCTCTGCAATTTTGTACAAATTCACCTAAGGCATACCACGAATGCGAGTAACCCGCGGGTCCACACAGGTTTACTCGTGGGAAAGCCCGTGGGTTCACATACCCGCGGATCCGGGTACTCGTTCCCACGGGTAGTTCGCGGATCCGAGTATGAAACCTGGACCCCGGATACTCACGTGAGTACCCACAAGTATTATTCCCTCTTTAGTGCAGCTGTAGTCTCTGCAAGATTGTTAACTATTGCCATCACGCAACCTCCCTGTGTTCAATCCGTGGTGTTGATATGCTTTTTCGAGTCCTTAATTTCCCCCTCGATGACGCAATCTGCGGAAATAACAAGTTCTGGTTCCCCACTCCTTTATTTCACGTGATTTACGCAACACCTTTTGTGTTACATTTTAGCATGATTTTTGGCATTCTGTCAGCCTTCTTGGAACAAACATCAGCCGAAATGATGATGTTGTCATACAGACTTGAAGAACTTCGAAGTCAGTGAAAACTTTGGTTTGGCGCAGGCCTTCAAAGGCGTATATTCGGTTAATAATGGCACGGATGCTTTCGCTGTTGCGTAACGCTGTCTCAATAACGAAGTGTATACGTAGCACGTCCTTGGTCGCAATGGCCATCAGAAGGCACTCGAAATCATCCATTTTGCGTGCAAATGTACCGAGGCAGTGTCCCATATTCAGAGACTGAAATCAATTAATTTTCGTACTACATAAATAAATGAGAGTGTGATGTACCTGGAGTTTTATTTTATTTAGCTCCTCGTAACGCTCGACAAGAAGCTCCTGAATTTGGTCGTGACTAAGGAACTTGTAGTTCATGCCTTTCTTGGCGTCACAGGTGATCTGGGTGATGTCCTGGACGCGTCCGTGAATCAATTCACATTCTTGACAGTGCCACGAATGAGCAGTTGTCGACTTTCTGCACAGCCTGGACCATGCTGTGACAACCTCTCCGCGCTCATGTACCTCGATATCGAAAGGAAGATCCCCTTCATCGCCTCATAAGGTCAAACAATGAAATGGGAGCGTAAGCCGGAACGAAATTTCCGGAGGCCATTCCAGCGCTATCCCGGCACAAGAGCACCCAAATACAGGCTGGTCCACATCCATAGAGGACTCGTCCTGGCACAATTCGGAGCGAGTGCGTGAAAGTCTTGGAGGGCTGCTGCACAGATATTAAATAACGCAAAGGAAAATTCAAAAATACTCACCAGTCACAGAAGACGTCGGATGATTCAGACGTAAACCGAATATCAGCTGAACGTGTTTGCGGGGACCATGTCAATAAATTGGCACTGGATGGCGCAGGAGAGAATGAGGGAGGTGGGGCAGTCAAAGAGGAAGCCGAGAATGAAGGATGTGAAGCTGTGGAGGGTGACAGAGAGAAAGTGGTCGGTGAGTGCTTAGCCGAGTGTCTGAACGACGGAGCGCACAATAGAGATAAGAACGCTGCTTGACAAGAGCAGGAGTGTAACGCTTCCCACGCATATGCTGTTCAAGCCCGTGGAAATGACCAGGCTCTTCGAGGATGCGTGTAGATGAGATGCTGGTGGTGATCCAAGTCTCGCACTTGTAGCATCTCAGCTCCCAAGTTCTAACCCCAGATGCGTGGGAAGAAACGCTCCCAGCAGCATGGAGGTCTCGCAGTTCTTGTCCCAATGGCGTGGAAGGAAGAGCAGGAGACCCCAAGGTGGGATTCAAAGGACTGGTGGTGGTCACTGAGGATGATGAAATACGTGGAGATGTTCCTGGATTCCTGACATATACAAAGCCAAACAGGACACAACCGCTGAGCAGCAGCAGCACCGGTGCTTCGTTCATCACTGATGATCCCTTTGCTGCATCAGGAAAACCATTGCCAAGCCATAGTTGGCCATATTTTCCCTAGTGCCTATAGATGCTCCAAGCACTACACAACGCTGCATAGCCCGCACTACGCGCAATGGAGAGCTATGGAGAGCTCTCCCAGCTTGCTTGTCCACTACGTAGTTATCTCACAGTTACAATCAGACCAGCCGTATGAAACAATCCAAGTTTGTATAGACCGTCAAGTTGCTTGCTGCTAAGACGAAAAAGAAAGCACAGTATATGAATTTAATATTCGAGAATGCGTACAATCGAGAGTAAATAAAATGCACGGCTTGCTACTATGCTGTAGAGCATCCGCGCGGATGACCCGTCTCAAAGGACCAGCGCTGAGGAACATTGACGCGGCGTCAATGCTAACCCCACGAATCACCCTCAAAGCATCTCATGTGTCTTGGCGTCCCATCCCAGTTGACTGGCGCACCCACATTGCTTGCCGGCTCGATCGCCGTCACACGCCATGCCCTGACTCGGATGTCGCGCATGTGCAAGGCTCCGAGTTGCTCACTCGCGTGCAGATGAGCCTGTGGTGGCCAGGCAGTGCCGCAGAAGTGTTGCCCTTGCCTCGGGGTCGGAGTCGGCATGCCTAACTTGAAAGAATGCTTGTGGCGTTGTCCTCAGGGTAATTATAAATCGGCAGGCCTGCAGTACTGGATTATTTCGTTCAAATCGACAGGGGGCGTGATGCGTGACCTCTTTGACCTATTCGACATTTCGACAGGCCCCCCAACTGAGTGTGACCAAGAGAAAAAATTCGAAATTGTCGTGGAAACGGTAGTATTCCATTAAGCAAGAGCCTTGGTACATCCTAAGAATACTTGGCTCCAATTCACATTACCTTGTCTATTTTTTTCTGTTTGTTTTCCTCTGGCCTGGATTTGGGCCAAAATACAGCAGTTTGGCACGGAAAGACTCCAGGGAAGCTTAAAAATGACAGAAACTGTGGAATTTTGATGGTACGAAGACACTGAGCTATGTACAAATTTATTTTTGAATTTATACTGATTTTCCAGCCATTTTCGTGACGTTTGACCAATTCGACACTCGCCTGCGTGACGCGTGACCTCGACCAAAATTCGCCATCGACAGGGGCATGCGTGACGCGTGACTGTCGAATTGAACGAAATAATCCAGTATTTGTAGTCGCCGCGACACAGATTTCTGAGAGCGCGCGCAGACAAAGCTGGAGCTCAAGTCCGAAGTTTAGCATGGAGGCAGGGGCAACGGTATAGTGGAAAGAGAGGATGATAAAAAGGACAAAGACATCGGCTCAAATTTGCGCTCCGCACGCACGTGCCACACTGCCACAATGGTTGTTCTTTCCAAGTTCTTTCCTCCTGCCACCATCTCGTCTCCTCTCGTTTCTCTCTCGTTGTTGCTTCTATCTGACTTTATATACTTTGTTGACGCCAGGTAAGCCCATGCAACTTCCTCGATAACCCTGATGCCGAAATCCATTTGTATGGCTGATATTTTCTCCAAGACCGCGTGCTATTTGAACGCCGGCGAAACACACTGAACGAGTGGCGTGCATTCGGGCGCCTGAGAAGCGTGGTGCGTAGTGCGTGGCACTGCCGACGTCCACTGCTCCCCGACGTCAGCGACTCTGTACTGAAGGCTATACCTGCCTTCCACGCGCGCAGGGGACGAGCAGATGTGAGCTGTCTGTCCATTCTGCATTTCCCCCTACGTTGTACTCACAAAAAGGTTTTCACTCGCTAGGGCAGGCAACAGTATGACATACCCCGTCGGCTTCCGGACTTCTCAGGCGGCAACACAGCGGGCCCATCTGGGAGGAACGTGCGCTTGGTGCTGCGCATATCGGTGAGCTGCAAGTGTCTGCGCAAGGCCCATCAATGACGGTAGGCAAATAAATGTTTTCTTGGTGCGCTATCGGTTTTTTCTCGCCTGTGTCACGCTCACAATGCATTTGCAGATATAGGTACTGCCTGCCATGGTATCAGTATCCCCCACACTTCCTTCCGTTGGACACCCCCGCGCCAATGTCACCGCCACCACGCAGTCGCGATCCCGCCGAGCCATGGGCGCTTTGCGGGTTAGCTTGACGCGTGCGTGGGCGCACGCTTCCGAGGCCGAGCCGGTGTATGGCGAGAATTACACTCCCACATTACTTGGTCGTCCTGTAGTAGCTACATGCTTGATAATATTATGGTTTTGCTATTTATTGACTGTCGAGAGCGAGAAGCAGGAGGAATGGAGCAATGAGGGGAACATTGCTTGGCGGCCTATCCTGCATAGTGATCTATAGTGTTGCACAGTGATGGCGTGCAGCTTGGCTAGCGCTCCATAGTGCTGGAATAGGGGGGTAGTGGCTATGGCGACTATGGTGCTATGCAGCACTATGCAGCACTCCATAGCACTATCAAGTGCCTACCTGTTTTCCTGATGCTGCCCTGATTCACACCACGACAATCATATCCATTACGGTTGTTCGTTCCACGGAAATC